TCCCGAGCAGCCGCTCCCAGCCGGCCCGTTACTATGCTCCGGGAACCCGAGAGCAGAGATGAAGCCTGGGGTAGAGCCATTCATTTGGGGAGGGGGCGCAGTTTGCAAATGCCTGCCTAGGGGGTGCCCTCATGGCTGGGTGGTTTTTCCTAATGAGGATAGTGAAGCTTCTTGTAAAAACCAGGCTTTACAGTGTTTGAAAGCTTCCGATCGTCCTCCCACCCAGAGGTAACCACTACTATAGCTCAGTGTTTCTTCTGCTTTTCATATGTATGCACTTTTTACAGAAGCAGGCTCACACCACATTCCCTGCACTGCTGCACCGCTGACGTCACACCAGCAGCCCCCCGAGTCTGTCGGAAACGTAGGAGGACAGGCCCACCGTGACCTGCTGGGTCACAGCCTGGATCCACTGAGAACCAAGTGCCCAGGAGGCTCCTCGCGCAGCACCCCGGGGCGGGGGGGGGGCGCCCTGCCTGCCTCGCTGGTGCAGCTCTTTCCGCAGCCGAAGAACAGGTAGGACGGCCCGTTCCTCGTTCACGGCTGCGTAGTTTCTCACTGTTTCTCCCTCCTCTGCTCAGAATGGTTGAGTTGAGTTGGAAGAATCGATGAATAAAATGCCACGGTGGGGTGTAGAGGTGGCTGATGTTCTGGGCAGAGGAACCAGGATAGGCAAAGCCGGGAACCAGAAAGGAAGTGACCCTGAGATGCACCTGAGCCGTGGGTGAGGCCTGAAGGATTGCAGACGGCCTCGCCAAGCACCGAGCAGCTGGGCCCCAGGGGCCATGAATTCAGTGGGTCACAATGGCTTGGAGTCTCCTGTGAGCGCCCAAGGGGAGGATTCTCTCTGGAGCCCCTGCAGCTTTATCCTCAACGGTGCTGGCAGGTTAACACCAGGCAGGCTGGCTGGGCCCTTCGTCCTGGCCGGTTCCTGCCTGGGAGCCCCACCTGCAGGAGGGAGGAGTTCTTCTCAGCTCCTTTTGACAGATGAGGAAACCGAGGCACAAGGGGGGCGATGAGGAGTGTGGCTAGAGTCACCCCTTCATTCCTTCTCTCACTCATGTAACCGACCTTCCCCAGGCAACCGCGATGTGGGGCGCTCTGAGCTGGGTCCCAAGGACACGGGCCCAGTCAGCGGCTGCTTTCTGCCACCCGGGGGCACGTGCCACTCGCGAGGGCAGATGTAATGCCGGGTAAGGAGGTGGCAGGTGACAAGACAAGGACACCGCGATCAAGAGCCGGTTGGGAAGTGGGGAAACGGTGACAATAGCCACCACCCCGGGCAGGTGCTCAATGAGGAAACTGGGGAAACCCTAATGCCACCCAAGGCTCCAATCGATGGAGATGTTCACCCCGGCCTTAAACGGAGACACTCGGGGGGACGGTGCCAGCTCTTCTCCACCGGAAACACACCTCCCACCCCACCAGCAGAGAGTCTTGAGGGGGGAGGAGAAGATGGACACAATCATTCTATAGTTTATCTGAAAAAAAAAAGTACAAGATTGAGAATTGGCAAGGCATTCTTTATACAGCAAAATGATGTCAGGGGCTCGTGTTGTCAAGCATGAAGATATATTCCCAAACTGTAACAGTCACACCACGCGCCGTCGTAGAGACAGGCGGCCTCCTGGAGCAGAGGAGGTCTGGACGTAGGTCCCCACGAGCAGGGCTTGTTTCCTGATAAAGATGTGTCTCAAATGAGAGGCGAGGGAGAGGCCTCGGGCTGATGCTGTCGCCTCAGACTTCACTTGGGATGCACAGAGGGGGGGCCTCTCGTCCCCCCCCCACATGTCCCTTCCGGTGGGGCCCCTGCCTGCAATGGGATTCATTACAACACGCGTCCAGCCCCAAACTGTCCCCAGAGCTTTCCTATCCGCTATCCCGTCTGGTCTTCAAGGATGCAGCACAGGGTCACATGCATTCTTGAAAACGCTCCCTCCTTCCCCATGAGTCATTCAAACCAATCATAGCAAATTGGGGTGGGAGCGGGAGAGGAAGGGAAAAAACACCCGGGAGTCCACTAGACAATATATTTATTCTTTCCAAACCGGGATCATGATGTGTATGTGGTTTCGTCACCTATTGAGTTCACTTCACGTCGTATTGGGAGTGTTTAAGCAGCCTTTGGAAACACAAAGTCTGATGGCCTATGCTCTTCCTTAAGAAGCAGATGCCATGCCCTGGCCGGTGGCTCAGGTGGTTAGAGCTTCATCCCAATACACCAAGGCTGTGGGCTCCATTCCCAGACAGGGCACAGACAAGGATCAACCAAGGAATGCAGAAATAGGTGGAACAACAAACCAGGGTCTCTCTCTCTCTCTTCCTCTCTCTCAAATTAATAAATAAAAAATTCGAAGGAAAAAAAAAGCAGACACCATGATTAATTTAGTTGTTCTCCTAACGTTGGTGATTTTCCAGACAGCTACTACAAACGATGTTCCTGTAAAGGACCCGCTGGTTTTAAGAACTCCCCTTTCTATTATTTCCTTGGACTAGATTCCTCCGTTACCAGGCAAAGGGCAGAACACCTTCGTGTCTCGATGGAGACTTTGCCAATGGCTTTCCAGAAAGCAGGAAACACAGGCAGCTGGCGCCGTCTCCCCCCCTTCACCCCTCACCAGCATGAGCATTATTTTCAGTGGTTTTCTTTCTTTCTCTCTTTTTTTTTACTTTGGCAATTTGCTAGACTCGGTGCCAGGTGCCAGTGCTCAGCATTATGTAACACCCCCTCCCCCACCCCAGAGTGGGAACATCCATTTTCTAGGGGAAGAAGCGGGTCGGAGAGGACTCCCCCGGTGGCCAGGGTCGCCGAGGCACAGGCAGTGAGCCCCGATCCAAGCCCGGGCGTCTCCAGCGCTCGCGCCCAGATCAGGTGTCAGCGCGCTTGCACCTGGTGGGCAGCCAGGGCCATCTCCACGCGCCTCTCCTCTCCCTGCCAGGGCCCGGGCTTCCTCATCGGAGAGAACGCAATGCTGCGGCACCTGCCCTAGCGCTCCCGGCCCTTCAGGGGTAAAGCCCTACCCCCCAGGCCCACCTTCAAAGCCACCCGCCTCCAGGTTGCCCCGTCCCTCAGTGGACGTCTAGGGACAGAGGGGAGGGGCGTAGGGACGGGGGACAGAGCCGTAACGAACCCCTCCCGGCAGGACCGTTTCAGGGCCAGGATGAGTTTTCATCATTAAACTCAGCCCTTCTCCCGCGCCCCCGAGCCAACACTTCCAAATGGACAGCGGCTGGTTGGACAGTGGGCACATGCCTTCCCCGGGCTGCGCCGCTCGCCCCCTTCGGCTCCCGAATGTCC